GGGGGGGGGGGGGGGGGGCGCACTCGTGATTTGCATTCCTTAGCGGTTTGACCATTGACACCACTTGGGGGGCGGAGAGGGTACGTATGAAAAAGCACGCAGTAGATGGTAGACCATAGAGAGATACCTCGCATCCCTACAATGCCGGGACGGAGCGAAATGCCGGTGGCCCAGGCTACCGAGTTTTACAAGGATGTACCAGAAGCTTGTCATCATCCTTTGCATTTTCAGTGCCAAACGAGATACGCCATGATGGGGGGGGCACCCAAAAGTTCATTGCTTGTCTTCGTCACTCGACCGTTTCCAGACGCATGGCTCTTCGAATCGGAAATATTTGTAGCACCCGATCACGGCACCTTGCAATGTGTGGGCTACAACCTTCATGTGTTTGCCATATTTACGTGCGTGGGCAAGGGGACGGGACGGCCTTGGCACAGCATGGGAATGGCTTGCGGGGGGATGAATGCCTTCGTACCACGAAAGCCAGCAAACGCATCGCTTCAAACCAAGTCAATTTGCGGGATATTCCGCGTTGGACATACGTCCTGGTTGAGTCGCTACAGCAGCTATCCAACCAACACCAAACCGAATCTAAGGTGTGTGCATCTGCAGTCGCATCGTCAACTCCCACGAGCCGCAAAGGCGAGCACAAGCCCCCTGCTGCTGTTTTCTATCCCATCCCGTCAGACCTTTTCCGCGAAAGTGGTAGGAGTGTACCGGAGGGGCACTGTGTGACTGACGCCTTGAAAACAGAACCCAAAACAAAAAAAGCCACTAAAAATACTTCGTACCATCACGGTAGGGGTGTCTGGAGGCGACGCCTTGAAAACAGAACCCAAAAGCAAAAAAAAAAATCGAAACTAGTACATAACCACGCGCCTTGTGTGTCTCGGCCCATCTATGCGGTTGGCTATTACCCGGGACACCGAGTCTCCCCCCCCCTTCCTCTAAAGGACAGGGAAATACAATTTGAGCCACCTTCGGCAAAATAGGAATCGGTGACTGGCCCTGTGGAAGGAATAATGTTCCGTCCTCTCGAGGACGCGTGGTCCGACAACTAAGGCATCCAAACCATAAGTACGCCCCCCCCCCCCCCCCCCCCCCCC